TTCTACACAGCCTCACCCCTCCACTTGGCATCTCTCGCGGGCAGTGGCCTTTGCTGTCACTCCTTTCTTGCATCTGATCCCTCACCAGGAGCCTTCGCCTCCGAGGGAAGAGAACGGAGTTTATGCTCCAGCTTCCTTGCTTTTTTCTGTCAGATTCTCCTTCTAATATCCCCAACTTGCAGGAGAGAAAGAGAAGCTACGTCGGCATCCACCCACCCCTACTTTGCATAATGGTTTCTTTTCACTTAGAAGGAACATTACACTTCATTGTAAGAGAACAAAATCTCTCCTCTATCAATTCTCCAGACATATCTGCCTTGAGAAGAGGGAGTGGCACTGTCCAGGGTGAGTCTCCTGCTCCTTGGCCACCACTTCTCCGTGGTCAGGAGTCAAGAACAGGTCCCTGAGCTCTGCCTGCTCTTGGAGAGCCCCCGAGCCCTCCACAGCCCTACCTCAAGTCTCACAAGTTCGGGGAGCCTTTATACACAACTCTCCAGGGTTAATGTCACCCTCTGCACGCCTATTTATGTCAGTCATAGAAAGAGCCTGGGACTCCCAAATCATCCGGATCCCCCACACTCCGTGTCCCTAAACTGCACCTGCACCTTTCTCGCTATTTCGCGTACATCCCTCAATTCTGCAGCCCTGCTGACATTCCCTCTGAAGTTGTGACTCATCATCACAGAATTCAAAATCCTCAATTGCTGTTAACATTCCTGGCCAATATCACTCCTTTTCCCCCTTGTTCTACAATCCAGTCTTCCAGTTTGCCTTGAGGACCCTGCTTTTCCAGCAGTGCTCCTAAGAGGAGCTGTCGGTTCTCTCCCACCACCTCCCCGGGGAGCATGGAGTTAGGGCAGGCGTCGGTTCTCCTCTGTGCCTCTGCTAGCTAATCTCCCTCTCTGCTCCCCAAAAACACCCACTAAAAACTGCCTCTCCTTGTTAGAGTTGGCTGCTATGTACCCTGCATCATTTCCTGTAGATTTTAACACCTGTTTCTGGTACATTTTGTAGTACTAATTCCACCATCATTTCCAATGTTCTCAATATCCTCATAGATATTGCATGTCACGCGCTGTGGCTTCTCATTTCCTTTATCTTCCTTATAAAAATGTAAACTCTTTCTACCTAAAAAACACTCTCCAGACTCTGCTCCACTGTTCTATATATTCCCAGTTTCATTCTTTGAAAGATTTGTCCATATTCGTTGCCTCTAATTCCTACTGTCTCTTAAATGCGTTCCACTGGGGTTCCTTCCTCCTTGTCTCGTATTAAGAACACTAAATGTCGCTTGAGCCCAGGAGTTTGAGGTTGCTGTGAGCTAGGCTGACGCCACAGCACTCTAGCCCAGGCAACAGAGCTAGACTCTGTCTCAAGAAAAAAAGGTCCCTTGAGCCCAGGAGTTTGAGGTTGCTGTGAGCTAGGCTGACGCCACAGCACTCTAGCCCAGGCAACAGAGCTAGACTCTGTCTCAAGAAAAAAAAAAAAAAAAGAACACTAAATGTGTTCTTAATAAGGTGCCCAATGATTTTCATGTTGATAAAATGGATAATTCTCCATTCTTGGCTTGCTTAATCTGCCAGCAGCATCTGTCACTGTTGACACTTTATCCTTCTAAAATCACTTTCTTCACTTGGCTTCCATGATATCAATCTCCTGCTTTTCCTCTCCCTTCTCTGTCTCTGACCCCTTTACTGGTTTCTCCTCATTGTCCTCACGTCTAAGCACTGGGGTGCCCCAATTCATAGCCCTTGGACTCTTTTTCATCTTTAGGAATTGAGAATTCCTGATAATGTTAGACATTCTCATGGCTTAAAACACCATCGATAGGATGTAAACGCCCAAATCAATAACTCCAGTTCAACTCTTTCCCCAGAAATCCAGAGTGGAATATCTGATTGTCTACTCAGCTTCTCCACATGAGGGTCTAGTGGGCATCTCCAGCTCAATATGTCCCAGACGAACCTCCCTTAATGCCCCTGCCATCCTGCTACACGTTAAATTGTCTCAACAATACAACAACTCCTTTCTACCCGTCACAAAGACCAACATTTGGGAGTCATCGTTGCCTTTGTCAATTCTCTGCTTTCTCATATAATATCCCTGAAAGAGCCCTGCCGTGTCCATTCTCACCAGGAATCCAGAATCCGACATCATCTCATCTCCTGCTCAACGGCTTTTCTGGTCCAAGAAACCATCCCCTGCCTGGATTACTGAAGTAGCCCCTATGTAGTGTGCCACCTCCTGCCCTCGCCCACCTGCAGTGTCTTCCCTGCACAGCACGGCACGGTCCTCCAGCGTCTTCCCATCTAGTCCAGAGCAAAAGCCAACGTCCTTGAGTAGCCTCAGGGCTCTGCACTGAGGGTCCTGTCTGACCCCTTCCCTGACCCTGCTGTTCCCAGAACGTGCCCAGCTGCTCCTGCTGCAGGGGGTTTGCCCTCGAGGATCCCTCTGCTGGGACTCTCTTCTCTCAGGTGTTGGTGAGGCTCACTCTCTCCTCCCAGCCCCCTGTCTCAAGGGGGGCTTCTCTGATGACATTGTAATTTCATGGGTCCTTCCACTCCTTCCATCCTCTTATGCTTTTCCTGCGTTCCTTTCCCTCTACGGTGCTCCCCAACAAAGAACATGGTCTTCATTCTGGATATTTATTAGTATTTTATATTTTCCTTTCCTGGAAAGTAAGCTCCATGAGGATAGAGATGTTTGTGTGTTTGTTCACAGTGCCTGCCACAGTATCTTGTACATTACGGCTACTCAATAAATATTCACTGTTCAATGAAATACACTTTCATACAATTGTTGAATAATGCATTCAGAGGCCATTGTAAAAGCTTTTCTGACACACCTTCCACCACATCTTCTAGGAGTATATTTGTCCTTCTGTCCTCCTGGCTGTCATGCTCTATTACAGTTGCCCTTTGACCTATCTCCCCTTCTATTCATTTCAGCCCAGTAGGTTTGTAGTCAATTGTTTTGCAGCCTGGCAGAGCACAGCTAGCACCTCTGCTCAGACGTCCACGGGCTGCAATCCAGATGTGAGCCAGAGGCAGGGTGGCCTGTGAAGGCTCAGCTGGGCCATGACCTGCTTCCAAGTTCACGTGGTGATTAGTAGAATTCGGTTCTTTTTGAGCTATGAGAGTGAAGAACTCAGCTTCTAGCTGGCTAGTGATCAGAGCTCATGTTCAGTTTTTTGCCATGAGGGACCTTCCAACAAGACCACTTGCTTTTATCAAAGTTGGAAAGCTGAGAAGATGACAGAGAGCATTTGCTGGCAAGATGGATGTCACAATCTTGTATTAGCCAATGGTGGAAATGGTATCTCTTTACTTCACAATGTTGTATTGGTTAGAATAAGACACAAGTCCCTGCCACTCTCAAGGAGAGGGTAACACACAGGGCATGAGTACCAGGAGGCAGGGACATGGGGCCACCTGGCCACCTGTCCACTCCTCATCTGTTGAGTCGTGAGCTCCTTGGGAGCATCCCTTCCTTTGAGAAAGCTTAGAAAATAGGAGAGGTGCCAGGAAGCTAGGGAAAAACATCTTTAAATTCAAATGAGAGCTGGATTCTGAAAAGTTTGTGCTAGGAGGCATGACACCCATCTCTAGCAATCTTTTGGTAATGTTCAGTGCAAGTTTTATGAGCAGAGAAGCAGGGAGCACGAAGTCCTGGATGGCTATAGTGAAGATGATCTGCCCACTGTCTGCCACTGACCAAGTCCCTAGACTGCTGACTCAGGCAAGAAAGGGAGAAATGAGGTCTGTCCACTTCAGGAAAGCTTTTAGTGCAAGACAGGGATGAATATTGCGAGGGTACTATTAATACCCATTAGGAGTAAATGTTACTGTGATTTGACATAGAAATTAGCCCCATATTGGTTCGATTCAACAGCTCTACCTACAGAATATAATGTGTATATACATAAAATTTATTGCTGACACATTACTGGGCTAAATCCACCAAATGGAATAATAAAGTAATAGAATCAGGCAGCATTCTGACCTTGAAGCCAGAGGGATAGATTGAAAATTAGATAAATGACAATGTTGTGTTCCATGATTGGCTCTAGTGTGCCCAGGCACACGCACGGGTTGGGGGAACACGGCACAGTAGAAACAGTAAACAGAACACCTAAGGCTTTTATCTGGCCGAAGTTCCTTGTTAGTTGAGAGTGTAATTTCACCAATGTGGCTTTCAAACAGCGGAGTAGGAGCAGTAATGAAGCAAGGGCACACAGGAAAGGGGGGTCAGCCTCATACAAGGAGGTCATGGGAGACCCAAAGATGTGAGGCCGGAGCTCCTGCACTTAGGACAAAGAAGAGGTCATAAGCCACTGGAAACAGGTGGGAGGGGAGCAGGCTTTTCCAGAAAGAGACAACAGGTGAAACAAAGGCACAAATACAGAAAGTTATCCCTGATCTCAGACACATTTTTCTTGCCAAAGAGATTCAAGGAAACAGGACAGAGAGATGGGAGGACAGAAGGGCCTTGATGCAGGGAAACGTGCAATGACAGTAGGGGTGGCTGTTCCTACGGCATTTGGTTGCATCTGTGCTTGGACCCAGGCATCCAGCTTTCTTCAACAAATTCTCGGTAAGGTACTTTTTGATGAGATTTCTGAGAAAATAGAAGGTGAGGAACTTAACTCAGTCCTCTAGCAAAATTAATGTTTACAAATGACCAGTCTCATATAATTTTCTTCTTGTAAAGTAAGTCTGGTGTAATTATGAAGGACAAATTGGCATTGTTAATTTTCAACTTAGGAGTCGAGTGTGAGCAATGCTGAAGAGAAACTTCAAACTCCTCTAGTATACAAATATTTCCATATGATTTTCCTCTCAGCTGTGCCTGGAGAGACATGGAAGAATCAGAGGAAATTCAGTGGACCCATTCCAGTTTCGTTTTTGAATCTTTGGCAGCTGCAATCTTAGCCCCACCCCCCTAGTGGTTGGTGGATATAAAGACAGCTGGAGCTTTGTCTACTCCTGGGCTCTCAGTGAGGACAGGGAAGGAAAGAGAGTCAGAGCAGCGGGGCTGTGGACTACGATGGATCGGAACCGCGGTCACTCCGTGAAGCTGAATGATGGACACTTCATGCCAGTGCTTGGATTAGGCACTTATGCCCCTGAGGACGTAAGTGCACCCCAAGGGGCTGAAGGCTCCTGTGTCCATTGTCCTGAAAAGCTGTCTTCAGACGGGAGCTCTGCACCTGGTAGACAGTGGGTGCTTGGAAGGACTCATCACAGCTTCCATTCCCCGTCTCTACCTTGCCTCCCTCCAGGTCACAGAGAACTTTTGTACTCAGTGGGGTGGCAAGTTGATGACTCTGGCATGTCAGGAGTTGGATAATTTCATGGGTGGATGATCCTTATTATTGTTCTTATTAACGTTATGTAATACATATCCAATGCTTCCCATGTATGTTAAGTATTTTCTATGCATTACCCTATTTAATTCCTCCACAACTGTGCTAAGTAAGTACTTTCATTATTGTTTCCTGCATTGTATAGTCCTAAACTCGGGCTGCTGTCTCTGCACTCCTCTGTCACTCTAACCATTGCTGCTGTACTCTTGGTCAGAAACTCGAAGGACAAAGAGACCAGGAGAGGTGTTGACGTGATTACGTGGTAGCAGCTTTCCTACGAGTCTGTTGGGGCTGAAGTATTTGCCAGAGAACTTCAAACATGCAAACCTTTTGGCATGTAAAAGCCTGCTGTGATTTCAACCGTTAGGTATTTAAAGAGGAGGTCATAGCGGGCATAAAGTCACAATAGTGCCGGATTGTGCTTTTCACCAAATACATTATTCCGCATCCACAGAGGTCACTGCAGTGAATTTAAAGTGTCACACTCTGGTCACAGTGAGGTGGGGGAGCGTTTGAGGTTGCTTTCGGAGGATTGTCCCCCTATGACAGAGAACACTGTTCAATCTCGGTAGAACTGTGGCATGAAATGTCTGTCAGTAGATAATAGCCATCAGACAAGGCCAGTTTGTTTTCAATGGCATAATCATTCATTTTATACACTATGATAGCTTAAGTGTAAGTTACATATGGTATATGCGACTTCTGTGTTAAAGACAGAAAAATTCCAGAGAATAGACCAAATTTCCCATTTGCCTTGATCTCCTCACTTGCAAGAATAAAATTAATACATGCATGGACTTAAAATTCAGATGGTACAAAAGGTCCGATGTGAAACAGAAGCCTCTTTAAGACTCTAATCTGTGTTTTCCTGGTAAATGTGACTCCCTCACACACTATCAGTGATTTACAGTGCGTCCCTGCAGGAATGAGAAGGACGTCCCACTGTGTGTGCATCGTGCCTTCCTTTGTCTCACTACATCTGTTTTCCGGAAGCATGGAAATACAGTATCTCAGATTTGGTCATTAGATCGTCCACCATCAGAAGTTCAAGGCAGACCATGTGTATGTCATCATCCTGACTTTGTCCACAGGCAACGCCAACTTGGTGAGGCGAGGTCTGTGTCCTGGGGGAACCAGCTGTGCAGAAGAATGGCAGTTGGCTCTCTGGGCTTCTGCTCTGCGTCTGGCTGCCTCAGTGTGTGTGTTCTGGGATCTGGCTCTGGTGTTCTCCTCTCAGACCTTGTGCAGAAGTTCTGATACTGACCAAGGGACAGCCTCACATAACCACCGCATGTGAAACCAGCCCCCCAGCTGTAGACAATTTAGAGGTTGAGATGTCAGGCACACAGGAGACAATTGAAAATGTTGCATAAATGCTGAATGAGAGTACCTGGGTATGAAAAACAAAAAGGAATCACGAATGACTTGAAGGGTCCAATTGGGTGCAATCTGGAAAGGATGGATGCTATGGACTCATGTCCAATTGTTAGCCAAAAATTGATACGTGGTGTGTGTGTGTGTGTGTGTGTGTGTGTGTGTGTGTGTGTGTGTGTGTATAGACCTGTCCTTTCTACTGAGTGCCTTAGAATATCTCTCCCAGTATGGAAAGAAGTCTTTCTGTTATCTATTCCCATACAATTGATTTGTATTGAATGGAACTTGGTTTTCCAGCCTCCGCAGTACAGCCCATTTCACTAATTCATTTCAGATTTGAAGTTGTGCTAGGGTTTAGTCGACATCCCCAGAGTACAGGTCTTATCGCTGAACCAGTACCATCAAACAAGGAGCCAGGAGGCCGCAGAAACCACTTGGTGGAAATGCTACTGAGGAAACACATTACTTCACTCTTCTTACTTCTGTTTTATAGACTCCTAAGAGCAAGGCTGGCGAGGCAACCAAAACGGCTATTGACGTAGGTTACCGACACATCGATTCGGCATACATGTATCAAAATGAGAACGAGGTTGGAGAGGCCATTCGAGAGAAGATTGCGGATGGTACTGTGAAGAGAGAGGACATATTCTACACCACCAAGGTGAGCGTTCAGTGCAGGGAGTGACCAGAGCCCACTGTATGTTCAGATATGGTGTTTTTTAACAAGTGGGATCTCAGTTGAAATAATTTATTTCCTTCCTAATATTGTAGAGGCACATCATTGAAACACAGAAAAGCCTTGCTTTGCTCTGAAATGTGTTAAAAGGGAAAACAATTCTTCCATTTCTCTAAACATAAGACATTATTCGTATAAAATGAGAATAATGACACTTACCCTCTGGACCTGCTGTGTGGATTGACCAAGCCACTGCACGTCTACTCCCTTGACTCCTCAGCAGATTCTCTAGGGACATATCAAGTGGAGGAGAGACATTACACACAAAAAGGAGCCAGGCTAGCAAATACATTCCTTGCCAATTCAGCATTGAGTTTCCTGAACTTTCTACAGTTTTCCTAGGTAGAAAACCATGCTTCCAATGCAAAGAGAGTTTAGGTCTCTACAGGTGAACCCTGTGTACGGTTACATTGATGACAACTTGTTTGTGGGATGTGATCTCTCAGAAGAATTGTTTTAGGAATTTATTACACAGACAGAAGATTCCATGCCCCTGTCCTGCTATGTCTTGACCCTTCTCAGGGGCCGACTCCTCTAACCCTTGACATTTTGGGTTGCTCTTCCTGCCCCATCTAAGTTTTCTTCATAGATTTCACATTGCACTAGCTTAGGTGGATCTCAGTATTCCATCCGGGACCCAATTTACACTGAGTAACACAAATGTAGTCCAGCTCTTCTTAGTTTCAAAACGCCACAGTGGTTTGTTACTCATTTCTCAATTTTTGAGTGTGATGTTTAATTTTAGTCCCCAAATATGTAAAATCATAAGCCACTTTGATTTCTTTTTCTCACTGCAGCTTTGGCCTACTTTCTTTCAACCAGAATTGGTTCAACCAGCACTGGAAAGATCTCTGAAGAAACTTCAACTGGACTATGTGGATCTCTTCCTTATTCATGTACCATGTGCTCTTAAGGTCAGCTCATCATTTTCCTTGTGACATCCATAGCTGTGCCTTCACTTTTACTAGCACCTCCAATTATCTCATTCCAGCTTGGTCTACTGGGCTCTTGCTGAGAGAGGGAGGATTCAATGGGGTGCACAGAACTGCTAAATGATCTATGAGTCTCTTTGGCAGTTGAGTAACTCCACCCTCAAGTGTGTTTTTCATCTCATTCTCCAGCCTTCAGAGGAATTGAGGTTCGATGATCTCACTGCCCCTACCTTGGAGAGTTGAAGGCATTGCCCTAGAGGTCTGAGTGAAGGTGCTCCTGTCTGGGGGTCCTTAGTGATCAGGGTCCTCAAGAGTGTTGAGTTACTACAGACTGCAGAGATCCATGGGAAATCCCCACCTCGCTAGGGGAAAGGTCTCTCCTGTGTGTACCTCTCAGCCCAGAGAGGACAGAGCTACCTTGGCTGGCACATGCTGCACAACAGGGCCCCTTTGGGCTCCCCTGACCTGACCTCCCCTCACAGTAGATGGTTGCTGAGCAGGGCAAATGTTCTCATTGTCTCAGAGTTGGTTTATCGTTAACTATAGCTAAACACGTTGGTTAATAGTTATGGTAAGTCCTATCCTCCAAACCAGCCTGTCCATGCAAATGAAATAAGTTCCAACTGTAGGAGACTTCATTCTTCTTGAAGTTGAGGCCTGTGTGGGGTAGGAGAGTGTAGGTTGTTGGGGGGAGTCTTTTGCTGCAGTCTCTGAGATGATTCTGATCTTCCTTTTCCCCTATGTCTTCCCTTCCTCACACACATGCACACTGGCAAGCACTCTCACACACACCAACGCTGATGCACACACACATGCACATACTGACCCACAGATGCACACACTGATGAACACACATGTGCACACTTAGATTAATAATCACAGCCTCCTGAAGGTTGTGTGGTCAAGTTCCTCAGGTCTCACAAAGGTGAGTCTTAGAGAAAATGTTCTTCTTTATCCACTGTTCTCTCTGTATCCAGCCTGGGGAGGAATTGCTGCCAGAGGATGCAAGTGGGAAAGTCATGTTAGACACTGTGGACATTCGTGACACATGGGAGGTAGGTGCTGCTACAGACCCAGCAGGCATGGTGTGGTGAGGGAGGAATGACTGGAGGGGAGCCAGAGGAGAGGGGGTTTTGCCCCAGCCATTGCCTGGCCTCAGATATGTCCTGGAACTTCTCTGCACCTTGTGCTCTCAACTGCAAAGTGAGGTGATAGGATGACCTCTAAGGTCTATTTTTAATTTCAACATCTATTAATATTTACCCCTGAGATAAGGTTGAAGATGTGAGCCCTATAAAAGAATCACCAGAAAGAAAGCATGAAAGGAGTTTTATGCACTTTATCTCAGGACAGATAAACACACCACAGAGGGAGGGGAAAGCTACAGCCTGACTTAGCCGAAGAGAGGACTGTACACAAAGCAGAGTGACCTGCCCTGACAGAGCCCACTCCATAGGTTTTTTATTTTTATTTTAGTTTACTCTAGAAGAGAGGAAGCAACAAACTCTCTACTAGCAAAATCTGAGGGTTTCCTTTGCCATTGGCCATGGCATGATTAGTTAAAGAACAGTTGCCTGCCTACCAGCAAAATAGGTAGCATTGAAGGGGGAGAGGTGTGGAGGAATTTAAAAGCATCTTGACATCCATTTGTCCTATGTGTGCATGAAATAGAATCAAGGAGGCAAATATGCATGCACAGCAAGAAAGTGCAGTATGAAATACGTGTTCAAGTGATAAATGCGGTGGATTCAGCCTAATGTTCTATATGCTAAACCAGATTTCCAGTTGTTAAAAAGTGCAATGACCAACAAAAAGAGCAAACTCCACTAAAGTTCTACCACACCTTTCCTTCCTCCCAGGCCCTGGAGAAGTGTAAAGACTTGGGTTTAGCCAAGTCCATCGGAGTGTCTAATTTCAATCACAAGCAACTGGAGATGATCCTGAACAAACCAGGGCTCAAGTACAAGCCCACCTGCAACCAGGTGCGCCCTTAGCCCACCAGGGCCTCCTGTCACCTTCTGCTCTGCACACGCTTCCTCCTTAGCTATGTTTCCAGCTTTCTGACTTGATGGCGACTGTGCGATGACGGTTCCTTTTCCTGAAATAGGAAATTCCAGGGAAGGAGCAGGTTGAGTGCAGTGGGAAGAGCATGATTTCAATTACCCAGAGGTGGGTTGGAGGTTGCTGTGAGACAGCCAGGTTCAGATGCTGGGTTGGCAGATGGCAGCACTGGTCTGGAGCCCAGGAGGTGGTCCAGGCTGGAGATGCAGATGTTTGGGGGTGTTGCTTCACAGATGGTAATCAACATCACAGAAATGGATTAACTCTCCCAAGGATCGTTCAAAGCATGAAATGGAAGAGGGCAGGAAAGTCCACATGTTAGGGTCAGGCAAAGAGGCACTGACTGGCAGGACACTGAACAGGAGTCTCCAGACAGGTGGAGAGAAGGTGAGAAGAGTGCAGTGTCAGGAAGCCAAAGGAAGGGGGCGAAAGGGTTTGTGTCAGACGTGGGCAGGTCCTGCTGAGGAGCCTGCATCTCCAACAGGGATGGGAAACAGTTGTTGCACTTAGTGGCTTGGAGTTAATGGGAAACCAAGCAGGGCAGTTCCAGAGAGGCGAGAGCTAAAGCCAGAGCAGGGGAGGGGAGTGGGGACTGAGGAAGTGGATCAGTCATAACTAAAGTAAGTAAGTTTTAAAGAAACTCCCAACCCTGCCAAATATCAAATATTGCTTATGGTATTGTAAAGTTTAATGCCTTTTGAAGAACATTTTGTTAATTATACAAAAACTATTCAAATATTAATAACCTATGTCCTAATTATTTCTAGGGATCTCTTTGCAGAAAATCAAAATATGTACAAAAATAACCAGACTACTTTAAGCACAATTTTATTTCTATTCCAAAATCATTAGAATTTTACCTGCCTAACAATAGGAAGTGATTACATTTATGATGGCTTCACAGAGATCTGTGCTGGAATATTATGAAGACTAACAGTGAAAAGGAAAAGCTTATGCGGCCATATTACATGCACAGCATACAGGACAATTACTTGCTACTCTGTCAGCTAGGATGCTTTCAAACTGTGAGAAACAGAAAACCAAATTCAAACTGGCTTGAAATTTAAAGAAGTCGATTCACATACAGAAGGTTTGGGGTTTGGTTGCTCTAGAAGCTGGGAGAGACTGTCTGGAAAGGAAGGTGTTTTGTCTGTGCTGCTCCCTCACAGCTGTTGCAGGACAGGCCCCCACAGGCAGCTGGGCTCGACGTCTCCCGGTTCATGTTCAGCAGAAGGGAGTGTTTTCTGGGGCTGTTTCTAAAGGTGGAGGAAGAATTTTTGCACTTGTCTAGCACATTTTTCCTCATGTGTCCTTGGCTTGTGCCTTTCCTAAACCAGTCAGAGCCAGAGAAAGCAAGACCACATCACCAATTCATGGGTGGGCTTCTCCAGGGGCACAGAGGCTAGAATAATTAGAGGAATAATTAGACAAAATTGGGGTTCTTATAAGGAATAATGTTAATCAAAAACACTCACTATATATGCCATATTTGAAATTATATAATATTAAATCTTAAAAACAAAATAATTTTGCTATAAAATTAAGCATAGCAAAATGAATACAGTTGCTGTCTGGTTCTGGTGGGATTCTAGGCAACTTTATAGTGTTTTTCCTAATTTAACATGAAAATATTTACTTTATGACTTTTAAAATATTTTGCAATTGTAAAAATTTCAAACTCTAAAAAGGTACAGAGAGTACTCTAAAGTCCTTCTTCTCTTCTCACATACCTGTGCCCACTCTTAGGCAATGATCTCACATCCAAACCTGTCACAAAGAGGCACTGAGTGGCAAGACACTGAACAGTGTGTGCTCCTACCTCTGGACTGTTTTGAACCAGGCATTCTGTCATTTGTCCTGTAATATTTCGGCATATGTTTTTAAATATATGGATCTCTAAACAAACAATGTCAGAATTCCATTATACCCCCTAAAATTTTACCAATGAATTCTTGATGTCATTAAATATCACAAGTGTTAAAGTATGATTATGTCACATTTTTATAGTTGATTCATTTCAATGGGGATAGAAATAAGGTCCATACATTGCAAGTGGGTGATACATCTCTTAATCTCCCTTTTGATCAATAGATTCACTTTCTTCCTCTGTCTCTTCTCTCCTCCCCCTCCCCCTTCACCTCCAACTCTCCTCCTCTTCCTCCTCCTCTCCCTCCATCACTCTAGTTCTCCCTCTCCCTCATTGTCTTCTTCAGTTTATTTACGAAAGAAATTAAGCCATTTGTCCTGTAAAGATTCCCACACAGTGGGTTTTATTAATTGATCCCTATGGCATGGTTTGACATGATACTCTTGTATGTCCTGAAAATTGAAGGTTAGAGCCAAAGACTTGATCCCATGTGATCAACGCCATGTGAATTCATGAATTTTCACAAATATTACATGTTATCTTCCATTATAGTTACTAATCTTGTTGATGCTCAAACAACACAGAGTTGGCCTTATGGAGCCTCTTCAAGTGAGCTCCTGGGCCTTGGCAGGCCTCATTGTCTTTCTCATCTTCTTTGCTTTCTGGAGTGAAAATTCTTATAGGTTCAGCTTTTAACTTCCCCACTCAGAACTGGAATCAGCTATTTCTCTCAGGAATCTTTTTTCATAGAGTAACAAATGGCATTTGATGGCTACAATTTTAGCAGAAGGGATTATAATCCATTTACAATTCTAACAGAAAAATAATAAGAAGAAAACTCTTATATCTCTTCACAACTGATGGTATTTAAAAGTATTAATGTTTCAGAAGGTGATGAGAAAATTGACCAATGTGAAAAATACAGTACCTATGATAATTCAGTGTGATAACTGATATTCCTCCAAAGCATTTTTTAAATTAACATGTGGTTATTGGCTCATGTGTTCTGACACCTTTTCTTCTTGGAAAATTACAGGTGGAATGTCACCCTTATCTCAACCAGAGCAAACTCCTGGAGTTCTGCAAGTCCAAGGACATTGTTCTAGTTGCCTACAGTGCGCTGGGATCCCACAGAGACCCAAAGTGGTAATAAGAATACCAGAGTTAACCTATGTCAGCAACTCTATTGAGGATGAAACACTCTTTTGAAAACAAAGTTTAACACTTTATTATGGAAAAGCTCAAATACCAAAAAGTAAACACAACAGGGTAGTGAGTTCCCATGTACTGTCCTTGAGCTCCAACATCACCAACATTCTGTCCATCTGATTTTATCTGTATGTCTACCAACTCCCAACCCCTCTCAAATACAATTATTTCAGGTGATTTTAAGGAAAATTTACATGAAGTATGATACATATATCTTAGCTTTACAGTTTTGACAAAATGATATACTGTGTAACCCACATCCCTAACATGATACAGAAACATTCTGTCTCCCAAAATGTTCTTTTGTGTTCCTTCTGAGACAATTCCTCTCTACCTCTGGGGAACTGCTTTTCTGATTCATTTTTCATTTTTGATGAGTTCTGTCTGTCCCAGTACTTCATATAAAAGACATCATATATGTTCCTTCGTGTCTGGCTACTTCTGCATCATGTCTGTCAGATCCATCCATGCATTAATAGTTGCCGCTATTGGTAGGTCTTTCCATTTTATTGCTGGGTAACATTCCATTGTGTGGACAGACATGCCACAGGTTTTTATCCATTCATGTGCTGAAGGACAATTTAGTTGTTTCCAGATTCCTGCAATTATGGGTGAATCTCTATGAATATTTATGGGACTCTTTTTATTCATACTGTATCATATCTACTCTCAGTTAGCTGGGGAATTTGGGAAAAAGGGCAGCACACTCTCAATTTACCACCCTAAATCGTCACATTCTGTATTGTAGTGTTTTCTTTTTTTTCTTTTCAGGGTGGACAGTGACAGCCCACATCTCTTGGAGGAGCCAGTCTTAAAAGCCATTGCCAAGAACCACCATAGAAGCCCAGGCCAGGTGGCCCTGCGCTACCTGCTGCAGCGGGGCATAGTGGTTCTGGCCAAGAGCTTCAATGAGAAAAGAATCAAAGAGAACTTCCAGGTACAGGTCCAGGATGAGCCAGGGGAGCTGTACTAGGTGGTCTCTCCTGCAGGGGAACATGTGCCATGTCTCACTCCTTCCCATGCCTCCCCACTGTGTGCTACAGGAGAGGGCAGCATGGAAGGGCAGGAAGAGAGAGCTCTGGACTCAGCATCCTCAGTTTATCTCCTCTAAGCCTGGCTTTGCCTCTTACTGGTTGTGCCACTAAGCAAATTTCCACTCCATTATTTTCATCATTTCTAGTAATTCTTCTATCAGTATATGGTAATGAACTTTAGGCACCCTGGTTCCTCTCTTTCACCTTCTATACCTAACATACCATAATTTGTATTTTAGGTCAAACCCAAATAAATTTAGCTGCTTTCTTAAATATTTGGGGGACCCTAGCACATTTTGTGACCACCATGGTACTAGGCATGGCTCCGTTAGTGAGTTTTTTCCTCATTAACTTACCATTGTTGGCTTACATGTCAGTGTGCTCTCTCGAATGTGAGAACCTGAAGGGAGCGACCCCCTCTGTGTCATGGATGACCACCTTTTCTCTGTGCTCTTGGCAGGTGGGATGCTGGATATATGCTTTTAGACTCACCAAATTAACTAACCAATGAGTAAAGTTACTACCCTTCCACATATATACTCTGTCCCCTTAGATCAATCAGTGGGCTTCAACTTACTTTCTTTTGAATATTAAAATAATTTTGAAAGACTATGTTAGCTGTTTCCCATACTAAGATAACAGCTAGAAACTTCATCATAAGTTTAATATTTTTTAAAAAATGATATTTGAAACCTATTGTTTATAATATATTTGCTTCAAAATGTAGCTATAAAGTTTATTAATTTATGGAAAAATTTAGTAGGTAAATCTAAATTTCATTGTTAATCCATACAGAAAAAAATCTTATATTTTTTCTTATGTTATTTTTTAATTTAACTCAACATATTAATAGATGTCCCCATGACAGCCATACTACTTCTAGAGTATATTTTCAAAAAGAATAACAGGTAAACTGATGGTTGGATGGATAATGGAAAGATAGATATATATAGAGAGAAAAATACATTAAATAGGTAGATAGATCATTGATAGTTAGATAGGGTCCTGAGTTTTGATGAAATTATCTCCTGCAGGAAAGAATAAAATTAATACTTTTTGACAAAGTTCTCTCTGTTTTGCTATTAAGAGACTCTCCACAAGGGGCTATGTCTTGTCAAAAGAAAACAAATCTGAACTTAAGTTTAAGAGATTTATTCAAAAGGGGAAACTCTTTGAACATGAGATCTGTGTGTCTCAAAGATCAATGAGAAAGGGTCTTCCGTAGGGAAGAGTAAACACAGCTGGAAATAGACGCTGTTTGGGGTGCCCAAGATGAGCAAGTGGTGTGGTGAAACAGTTGGTCAGGAAATGCTTTTCCCTGAGGTGAACAGGTGCTTGGAGAGGGGTTGTCACATGTTCCAAGGCTTGCTCCGGCCAAGGCTGGGTCAAGTTCCAGGGGGTGTGAGGAAGAAAACAACTGTCAACCTTTGTTCAAGGCAAGGCAGCAGGCATTTTGCCCAGATCTTTCTTGTGTTTGGAAATAAATGATTTTTTTTTGTCTCCAACAGTTCTCTTGGCAGAATTACAGATTGATGAGTTGTGCATCTTTCTTTTGTGAAGGGGAGCAGAGCAGGAGGGGCCGGGAGGAGAGGGCAGAGCTCACGCAGAAGGCGCCTCAGGCCACGTGCACCAGAGGCTGATGACAAGGACCATGCGTCCCTTGATGCCCTCCTCCCTCTGCCCCCTGGAACGTCTTCCTGAGCATAGGTCAATGTGAGTCTCTCCTTCCTTTCAGGTGTTTGACTTTGAATTGACTCCAGAGGACATGAAAGCCATTGAGGGCCTCAACAGAAATTTCCGATACGCTAAATTCCAGTTGTAAGTGACTATTTCAGATTGTTTTCTGTATCATGCAGGCCCACAGAGGAACAAGCTTCCGTAAATCAGAAAGTCAGGCCTGATTTCAGGTGTAGGCGCGAAATATGAGCTTCCCTGTAGCCTCCAAACCAGAGGTTTCCTCCAGGGCTCAGTCTCTGCCCCATAGAAGTGTGAGTCTGGGAACCTGCCAAAGTTCGCACCAGAGTGTCCAGTTCTTGGTACCCTCGGTACCTCTGCCTGGGGTCCTGCACCCAGGGCCACTGCCCCTTAGACTGGGAGCCATGGTGCCTACTTCCCGCCATGCTTTCAGGGGCTCATTGAGAATATTGCGTCTTTAATTTATGTTAAAATCAGAGGAAAAAATTAGTGAATGTGAATTCATCATTATCTGAATGTGTAGAGATGAATCCAGCCTGGCCCATCCTGCTCTCTATGCCAAGGCTGCATGGGCCGTGATGCTGACATATGTGTACAGGAGGGGCTCAGGAGGGCCAGTGTGCCTGGGGCCTAGGGCAGTCTCAACGAGCCCTGCTTCTCTCCTCCCCTTGGCAGCCAGTGGCATTTCTCCTTGATGTGGCGTCCCTCCCTGGCACACCACCCATTTCTTCCAATTTCTCTTGTCCTCGGCTTTCTTTACCCATCGCTACTCCCATTTCCTGAGCTGTGTGATCTCACCAAGCTGCACTGTAAATGGATCATGACATTAATCAGCCCTTGAGTGTCAGTGACTTCATGTGTCTCCAGCGGCATTTACCAAGATATGATCCTCTGGAATTTCTCTGGATCTGGAAATCAAGACTGCTACTGAAGCGTCCCCTTAGTCCATCAGAAGTCTACCTCTGGAGACGCTGATTTATTCACAGACTTGACGGTCCACTGGTTCCACTACTGCAGGGTCTCTGGGTTCGGTAGAAAGAAGAGTAATCAGGCAGAGAGGAGTTTGGAGGGGACTTCGACAATAAGGAGAAATAAAATTTCAGTTATGAGAATAAAGATTTGGTCTTTATTCAGAGAAGAAAGATCTGAAAGGTCCCTCTCCTTTTTGGAAAACAGTACCAGGATTCTGAGAAAGACACTTTGAATGAGAAAAATGTGGGAAGTATGTTTTCCAAACCCGAAGGCTTTTCGGTGTAAGTCTGTGATATGCCTCATTAGACCATGAGTGCCTCGTCTTACTCATCTCTCTGGCCCGTGTGGGTAACACGGCTCCTGGCACATGGAACTGCTGAGAAGGTACTCTTCGATGGCATTAAATCAAAGAAGACAATTCTAAAACAAATAAAAGAAAAAAGAAAAAAAGAAAAACAAAGAATAATACTAATCACTGAACAACAAGCACTTTCATAAATAATAATTAAGAAAACAGTAGTCACATTGTGTAGGTCTGGTTACTAGAGATACCTCCTGTATCCCCCATAATTAAAAGTTCTTCACTGGAGGGGCCCTGTGTCATCGAGGGTGCCCAGTACTTGAGTGTTGAATGAATGAGTGAAAAAGAGCCACACGATCCTGACTGCCACCATCCCCCAATCTCAGGACAATGGGTGCTCTGGGGCTAGATTGACTTCAACTTCAGCTATGCTTCTTTTCCCTCTTAGAATTTGTAATCTAAATCAAATTGCACCTCACTCTGGAACTTACATGCATGGGAATGTGGGAATTGGGCGTGTATGTGGAGTTTGCCCATGAACAGGGAGCTTGGGTGTGGGAGTGCCTGGGTACAAATAGGGACGTGGCTGTAATTCAAGTGTTAGCCTATCCTAACTGAATCTTCAGAGAAGCCCTCTCTTTGGCAGCATGGAGAAAGAGTCAATAAATGAATTTCCTTTCTTCTCTTTCAGTGTTGCTAATCACCCTTATTATCCATTTTTGGAAGAATATTGACCATGAGCTATCAAATATCACCACCAGAAGTTCCTGCTTCTAGGATGTGTGGAGAGGATGTCTATAGTTGGCGGAGGAGATTAGGAAGTAGTGTCTGTAATTTCAGGTTGCTTTCCTTTCCTTTTTTCATTTATGAACTAACAAAGATTTCAAAATGACATTGTTTGTTTTTCCTGATTATTAAAATAACATATAAATTACAAAAAAACTTAGAAAATAAAAAAGAAAGGATAGAGAACAAGTGCCCATTAATACATGACTGGATTAATAAAATGTGGTATATGTATACCATGGAATACTACTCAACTACAAAAAACAATGGGGAACTAGCACCTCTTATATTATCCTGGATAGAGCTTGAGCCTATCCTTCAAAGTGAGGTATCACAAGAATGGAAAAACAAGCAACAAATATACTCACCATCAAATTGGTACTAACTGATCAACACCAAGGTATTCACATGGTAGTAATATTCACTGGGTGCCATTCAGGTGGGAGTGGGGTGGTGGGGGGTGGGTAAACTCACAACTAATGGATGCGGAGCACAATGTATGGGGGAAGGGCACGCTTGTAGCCCTGTCTTGGGTGAGGTAAAGGCACTATATGTAACCAAAATGTTTATACCTCCATAATATTCTGAAATAAAAAAAAATAACCTATAGTTCTCCAATTCAAAAATATTTAATATTTGTTGCATTTTTCTTCATGATTTTCCTGTGCAAATGTATGTGTTTGTTTTTGCGGGTGTTTTTGTAAACTTGAAATCATTTTCAACATGCAGGTCGTATTTTTTTTGTAAGTATTTTTCCAAACTATCAAATATTATTCGAAAATTCTAGAATTATATTTTATTTGTTGTAAAGCAGTCTATCTTATTAATTAATTTAGTTTCTTAATCATCTACCCATATTTTGGCATTTTTATTAGTTCTTGCATATTGTGCCATTCATTCATTTATTCATTCAGCAAAACTTTATTGAACATCGATTATATGCCAGACATTATCAATATGTAAAATAAGCAAAAATGAGATGAAATGAAAATTAAAAATGTCTTGAGTTTGTGATCCAGTAGGGGAAGTAGATTATGACTGAGATAAATACTGTAAGAAGCGTGTAGCTGTTAGAAATTGGCACGTGCCTGTTGGGAGATCGTTCTGCCTGTCTTTCACATTTCTGCACACTTCATAAGCAGGGCAGGGCCTGCGCTTCATTCCTCACTATCTTTTCAAGAAATGTATGTAGTTAACAGCTTTGGCATATAGACATAGTAGCTGCCTCCAAGAAATGGAAGGAATTTTACTATCTAGTAAAAGAAAGAAAAAAAACTCTCTCCAGTCAAACGGCAGCTGGAGGAGCCATGGGAAAACTTGCCCTTTGCCCTCTGAAGGTTTACTGAAGAACCAAGTGACTAAGGCAGATTAACAAGAGAGAAGGCATACAAATTTAATAGCGTGCATAGGGAGAGTCCCAGAGTGATTATCCCAACACTCCAGTGGGGCTCAGAAGCTTATATATCTTCTTGAAACTACAGAAAGAATGGAGGCTCAGAGCATGGCCAAACACCCGTGGTGGTGGTAATTCAGGTTATAGTGGCAAGACAGGTTTTGGCAGAAGAGCAGAGGAGGTGTGGCTGGCAATGGTGGTCTCGTTAGGTGGATGAAACCTCACAGGTCGCAGCCCTCAGAGAAAATAGAAGGTGAACGTTTCTTTCAGACCTTTCAAGGTGTCAGACTCTCAGGTAATCTTTCCTAGACTGGACAAGAGCAGGCCCCAGAGAAAGCCTGGCTATATCAATGCAGATTTTCTCTACAGAGGCAAATATCCCCCACAAAAGACAGTTTTAAGTTTATCCTGTATTGCCAGCCCTTCAAAATAGCCATCTTGAAATATGTCAAAGAACTATACCTTGGGGTGAAATATTTTTGTTTTCATGCTCACTGCCAGATAGAAAGGATTGGGTTCCCTCCACCCAAGGTTATTCTCCTGTAACTGGACACACCGAGTGTGCAGGCAACATTGGGCCCTTTCCCTGCACCCTCTGGAAACAGTAGCTCAAAAAACTTGCACAAAAATGCTGCTACTTTGGCTACAGATACTGTCACGTGTAGTAAACTGCTCTTCTTCCCTGACCCAGGAGTTTCATGACTTCTACCAGCATCCATGAAACAAGCTAATTTGTTAGCTGGAAAGTCAGGTTAAAATCTGAGCTCTTTCATGATTCTTGAAGAAAATTAAAGCAGGAAGGGATACTAGGTAGTGGGGTGGGGATTGGGACTGTTGGGTGCTATTTTAGATAAGATGGCCAGAAAAGAGTTCACTGAGAAAGAGACCCTCGAGCAAAAGTTTGAGTGAGTGATGTGGATATGGGGCAGGGGAAGAATATTCCTGGCACATGGAACAGAAGGTGCTAAGGCTATGAAGAAAGTGTGTTCCTGCAACACCTAAACAACAGCTGTTAGGCTGATGTTGTAGAGTTTTGTGAACAAGGGAGACGGTAGCAGAAGATGAGGTCCAGAGCAGCAGTGAGAGACTCTATCACATAAGCTTTTAGAAGAATTTTCACTTTTATTCTGAGAAAAGTAGAGAATGGTCAGTTCTGAGCAGAGAAGTGACATGAGCTGACCTGTTTTGAAAAGATAACTCTAGATGCTCTGGTAGGATCATATTATTGGAAAAAAGATAAATAGGTCATCTCTTAGGATTCAATACAAAAATTCAGGTGAGAAATGATGTTGACTTGGACCACAGAATGAGCAGTAAAGATGGTCAACATTCATGGGAATACGGATATTTTTATAGGTAGAGTCAACAAGGATTCCTAGCATATTGGCTGTAGAGTGAGAGGGGAAAAAGTTGACTCCAGACATTTTGGGTTCTGCAACTAGAAAGAAGGAGGTGTCATTGGCTGAGATGAAGAGGACACGAGAGAAGTAAGCTTTTGTGGGAAGATCATGAGTTCATCTTAGACCTGTTATGTTTGAAATGTCCACTGTGCATCCAAGTGGAGAGGCCATGTACACAGTTGGACATATAAATCTAGGGTTACAGGAAAGGTATAGGCCAAAGATACATACCTGGGATTTGTCAGAAAATAGTTGCCACTTGAAGGCATGAAATGAGATGATCAGAGATTAAATTTGATGAGTGAGTGAATATGGACAGAGAAGAAATGAGATGAGGCCTTCCGTCATTAAAAGGCTGGTACAAAAGGAGAGGAAGCAGGCAAGGAGACTGAAGAGTGGCTACTAAGGTACAAGGGAAATTGGGAGATTGTTCTGTCCTGGAAGCCAAATGGAAAAATTGTTTTAAGGAGAAAAGAATCAAATTCTACTAATAGGACAAGTAAGATGAGACTCAAAATTAACCACTGGAATTGTCAATTGACCTTAACAAGGTCAAGAACAGTTATGACAGCCTGGTGGAGGCAAGAGCCTGAATAGAGTGGGTGCAAGAGTGTGGAAAGAGAAGAATTAGAGACAGAAGTGTAGAAAATTCTCAAGGAATTGGCTCCAAAGGGGACCAGACAATTGAGCAATCACTAAAGAGAAAAATGGAGTCAAGTGAGGGTATTTTTGTGATGGCAGAAATAGCTGTGTGCACTTAGGAACAATCTATCAGAGACAGGAAAATGGATGATGCAAGAGAGAGGATGAGAATGGCTGGAACCACATCTGAATTAGTTTCCTGTTGCTGCTGTAACACATTCCTGAAATGCTATGGCTTGAAACAACCCAAATATATTTTCTCACAGCTCTAGAGATGAGAAGTCCAAAATCAGGCTCAGTGGATGAAAATCAAGGTGTCAGCAGGCCTGCATTTCTTCTTGAGAGTCCAGGGGATAATCCACGTCCTCGCCTTCCCCAACCGCCATAGAATGCAGCCTTGACTCACGAGTCCCTTCCTCCCTCCTCAAAGCCAGCTGCGTAGCCTCCTTCACTCTCTGACCTGTGTTTCTGTCCTCACATCTCCTCTTTCACTGTGACCCTCCTGGGTCCGACCTTGTGGACTTTGTGACTACATCAGCCTACTCAGATAATCTAGGAAAATCTTTCCATCTCGTAATTGTTAATTACATCCACAAAGTTCCTTTAACAAGGCAAGGCAACATAGTCACAGGTTTCAGGGATATGGGAATGTATGTCTTTGGGGGACAATATTCAGCCTACTGTATGAGCTTTGTGGTGAATTTGGGATAACTCGGCCTTAGTTTCCTCATCTTTCTAACAGGAATGTTTATATCAGCAACGGTGGATACTGAGACTCTAGACTTTCATCTCACATGTCAAGTGGAAACCACCTAAATATAAACCTGTTTCTTTAAGGCTGATACCATCTTGACCCTACTTATTATATTTCCCAATTCTTGATACACTCTCTTCATTCTTCAAGTTTAAAATTTCTTCCCAGGATCTGTTGCCATCATCTTTCATTGTTCATACAAGCAACTCAAGCTTGACAGTTTTTTGAAATTCTCAATGCCTTTGATTTTCTACTCATGCCTAGACTGTATTTCAGGCAACTACCCCTGTGTTTACTACTTATAACTGCTTCCTCTGTGAAACCTTCACTTTGACACATTTCATACTAACCAAGACTCTCATTCTGCAGTTCTTCTATTCGTCAAGTTTTTGACTCATTCAGAGTTGTAGTCATTGGGCCTCTCCACTTTCCTCTTTTCATTATTTCAGTCCCCATACAAGTTCACATATTCAAATTAGGTTAAACAATAAGTTCAGTTCAAACTAGTCAGACTCATTCATTCTCTATACATTACACTTCTAAATAGATCTGCTGCTGAGTGGCTTTGCTTTTTGTCATTTTGATTATAATGTATGTTGGTGTGGATCTCTTTGACTATATCCTATTTGCAGTTTT